TAGCCGAAGTATTTACTGGTTCTCCGGGAAAATATGTCGGTCTAGCAGAAACAATTAGAGGGTTTAAATTGATCCTTTCCGGAGAATTAGATAGTCTTCCTGAACAGGCCTTTTATTTGGTAGGTAACATTGATGAAGCTACTGCGAAGGCTACGAACTTAGAAATGGAGAACAACTTGAAGAAATGATCTTAAGTCTTTGTGTATTGACCCCGAATCGAATTGTTTGGGATTCAGAAGTGAAAGAAATCATTTTATCTACTAATAGTGGGCAAATTGGTGTATTACCCAATCACGCGCCTATTGCCACAGCCGTTGATATCGGTATTTTGAGAATACGCCTTAACGACCAATGGTTAACGATGGCTCTGATGGGCGGTTTTGCTAGAATAGGCAATAATGAGGTTACTGTTTTAGTAAATGATGCGGAGAAGGGGAGTGACATTGATCCACAAGAAGCTCAGCAAACTCTTGAAATAGCAGAAGCTAACTTGAGGAAAGCGGAAGGCAAGAGACAAATAATTGAGGCAAATCTAGCTCTCAGACGAGCTAGAGCACGAGTAGAGGCTATCAATGTGATTTCGTAACTATAACCAGTTGGCGGTGCGCCCGAATAATCAAAAAAACTTCTGTATAAACAGAACTTCTGTTTATACACCTTATTTTTTTATTCTGCCAATTGAATAGAATCATAGCCAATTGAATAGACTCATAAATGGAATCGGATTCTATCTAATAGAACGAAAAATTTTTAAATTCAAAAATGAAATAGAATGGAAAAGATCAAAAATCAATAAAAAAAGGCGGATAGAAAAACTTATTAGATACCATAGATTCTGATATCTAATAAGTTATACCTACTATTGGATTTGAACCAATGACTCCCGCCGTATGAAAGCAATACTCTAACCACTGAGTTAAGTAGGTCATTTATAATCAAAAAGAGAAAGAAATGGAACCCGTCACATCGATGGATTATAAATGTAATATTATTTATAAGCAATACCGATCAAAGAGATAAAAGAAATAGGATCTTGGATCCTATTCATCTTGACAAGAAATTATCGACATGATAAAATAGATATCACAAGCACAAGGGCTATAGCTCAGTTAGGTAGAGCACCTCGTTTACACGCGCGCCAATGTTTTTTCAGAGTAGTACATTATGGAATCAAAAAACTTATTGAGAAGTTGATGTCTTACTCCATGACTTTTAGGGAACAAGAGAACAATAGCCTGACAAAAGATTCGGTCCAATTTTGGTGCCCTTTTAGATTCGATTTTAGGCAACCAATAGAACCCATTATTGATTTAAGATATTGATAAGGGGAATACTCAGTCTATTCAATGCTAGGCATAATGAGTATAAAGACCTCAAAAAATTCTTTTTTCGTCCTATCTTATGAACTTTAAGGTGTATGAAGTTTCATATTGGATTATTTAAGTAAAAGGGGGTCGATGGAGACTTCATTTAACTTAGGTTGATCTAAGCCAAAAGCAAACCTACGTCAGGATAACCTTCTTTGAAACACTTCGGTAGTGCTCTCAGATCGGAATCCAAATAAGAAATCAGAGCACATGGAGCCATCTTCTTATCTTCCTGTCAAGAGAATTCTGGTAGACTAACTGATTATTTATATCAGTTAATGAAAGAGCCCAATGCAAAAAAATGCATGTTGGGTCTTTGAAACAGTTCGAATCATTTTGATAATAATCAGTTTGATCTGTTTTACCGAGAAGGTCTACGGTTCGAGTCCGTATAGCCCTAAAAAATAAAATTCAAATACAAAAACAAAAATTGTATAGTTTTTATTTCTTCATTATTGTATTGTTTGTTGTTTGTAACTAGCCGCTTGCAATTGCTTGGTTCATCGAAAAAAAACATTCTCATAAGCTTGCTCGCAGGAATCATTCAGGACAGAGGATAAAGCCGAAATCAAAAAAAAGTTCACTTCAATAGACCCAATCGCTTTTTTTTTATAGATTTTTATAGAGAGTCCGAAGTGAGATGAAAAATCGAGAAAAGAGTCTTATTTGTATTTGTATAAGGTATAAGAGCAATAGCAATATATATTTATAATTGATATCGAAATAAAATTGAAGTAAATGGAACAATTCTAGTCGATGAGTCTTGAAATGAGACATGTACCACAGCAAACAAAACTAAGCAGTTCAATCAAAATAAATTGTTATTTTGACTAAACAGTTATGAATGAGTTGACAATGAATTTCAATTCGACTCGAATAATCTAGTATATTTTCCACATTCATAGGAGTGCACCCATGTTTCTGCTTTACGAATATGATATTTTCTGGGCATTTCTAATAATATCAAGTGTTATTCCTATTTTGGCATTTCTAATTTCCGGCCTTTTATCTCCAATTAGAAAAGGGCCAGAGAAACTTTCTAGTTATGAATCCGGTATAGAACCAATGGGCGACGCTTGGTTACAATTTCGAATCCGTTATTATATGTTTGCTCTAGTTTTTGTTGTTTTTGATGTTGAAACGGTTTTTCTTTATCCATGGGCAATGAGTTTCGATGTATTGGGGGTACCCGTATTTATAGAAGCTTTAATTTTCGTGCTTATCCTAATTGTTGGGTTAGTTTATGCATGGCGAAAAGGAGCATTAGAATGGTCTTAGCTCTTGAATATTCCGACAATAATAATGAAAACAAAAAAAAAAGAACATTGAGACAGTTATGAATTCCATTGAGTTTCCCTTAATTGATCGAACAACCCAAATTTCAGTTATTTCAACTACATCAAATGATCTTTCAAATTGGTCAAGACTCTCCAGTTTGTGGCCACTTCTCTATGGTACCAGTTGTTGCTTCATTGAATTTGCTTCATTAATAGGCTCACGATTCGACTTTGATCGTTATGGGCTAGTACCAAGATCTAGTCCTAGACAAGCGGACCTGATTTTAACAGCCGGCACAGTAACCATGAAAATGGCTCCTTCCTTAGTGAGATTATATGAACAAATGCCGGAACAAAAATATGTTATTGCTATGGGAGCATGTACAATTACAGGGGGAATGTTCAGTACTGATTCTTATAGTACTGTTCGGGGAGTCGATAAGCTAATTCCTGTAGATGTCTATTTGCCGGGCTGCCCTCCTAAACCAGAGGCGATTATAGATGCTATAACAAAACTTCGTAAAAAAATATCTCGAGAGATTTATGAAGATCGAATTAGGTCTCAACAGGGGAATCGGTGTTTTACTACCAATCACAAGTTTTATATTGGACGCACTACTAATACTGGAAATTATGATCAAGGATTACTCTATCAACCGCCGTCTACTTCAAAAATAGCTCCTGAAGCCTTTTTCAAATACAAAAAGTCAGTATCGTCCCCTGAATTAGTAAATTAGAGGAAGGACTCCTTTGTACAGAATAACAAAGGGCAAGTCAATCTTCCTAAATTTCATCGGAAATAGGAAATACTTATACAAATAAAAATGGGGGAGAGAGAAAAGATATGCGGGGTCCTCTGTCTGCTTGGCTGGTCAAACATGGGCTAGTTCATAGATCTTTGGGCTTTGATTACCAAGGAATAGAGACTTTACAAATAAAGCCCGAGGATTGGCATTCCATTGCTGTCATTTTATATGTATATGGTTACAACTATCTGCGTTCCCAATGTGCCTATGATGTAGCACCGGGCGGGCTGTTAGCTAGTATATATCATCTTACGAGAATAGAATATGGTATTCTAGATCAACCTGAAGAAGTATGTATAAAAGTATTTGCCCCTAGGAAGAATCCTAGAATTCCATCTGTTTTCTGGGTTTGGAAAAGTGCGGATTTTCAAGAAAGAGAATCTTATGATATGTTGGGAATCTCTTATGATAATCATCCGCGTCTGAAACGTATCTTAATGCCGGAAAGTTGGATAGGGTGGCCTTTACGTAAAGATTATATTGCTCCCAATTTTTATGAAATACAAGATGCTCATTGAATACTAAGAAACTAATCTTCAGTGTTACAATTCCAGATATTCAAGGAATATTTCTTCGTTCTCTTATAGATCCAGAGAGTCATTTAGATCCAGAGAGTCATTGAAGTCTCATTCATATTATTATGGATTTATTTCGGACGAGCCGAGCTAATAGGACGAACTAAATGAATTCTGCATGATGAACTTTGTACTGCGCACATCCCTTAGATGAGCTATATAAAGTCAATAAAGAAATAGAATATGAAAGAAAAAACAAAGAAATCAAAGGAGATCGGATTCTATTTGTACTGTATCTGAGATGAATCTTGTGTATTACCACCCTTCAACTTCTCTAGACTAGACTTTTCTTTTAAGTCTTTTACCCAATTCATTTACCCTTTCAAATCTATATGAAGTATTCATTTTTTGACCGAGAGGACACGCATTATGGACAAATAAAAAAAAAGAGGAAAGATAAAACATAATCGAATTTTTTTCTTTTACATACCCTTAATACTTTCTATTTATATTATACTTTATATTATATACTTTTTACTCATCTAAAAATCTAAAAAGGCTATATCTCCAGACACCTAGATAAGTATGTATCATGGTCTATATTATTAACTATATTATTAATATTTATGTCGATCTATATCATCTATATCAATTAATTTAATTAAGTTGTAGAATAGATACTTCTAGACAAATTCATCATGTGTCAGGAACCAGATTTGAACTGGTGACACGAGGATTTTCAGTCCTCTGCTCTACCTGCTGAGCTATCCCAACCATTTCCGACGCGCCGTCTTCCTAATTTTTCATTTTACTAAATGACTTGAGTCTATGTCAATTAAAAAAAAAGACAAAAAGGTATTCTAAAGTCTTATGATTGTTAATCATTCCAATTTTCAAAAGGGATTCCTTGTTTTACTCAAAGAAGTTCGTTTGTATGTCTATTATATCTATCACAAGACTTGTAAAAATAAAAAAAAAATGCAGCCCAGATATATTTGTGAAAAAATCGAATGAATGAGAAAGATAACGAATTTTGAACCGTTAAGGAAAAGAAAGAGAGAATAAGATAAACAATTAGGGAGTCGAGCGGGCCCTTTTTTGGGGATAGAGGGACTTGAACCCTCACGATTTATAAAGTCGACGGATTTTCCTTTTACTATAAATTTCTTTGTTGTCGATATTGACATGTAGAATGGGACTCTATCTTTACTCTCGTTCGATTAATCAGCAGACTGTGGGGTGAATGATCTGATCAATTAATATTCGATCCTCTCGTCAACTTGGAATCGATTCAAATCAAAGCAATTTTTTTTTTTTATTATTTGATTTTTTATTTTATTATTTGAATTATTAATTATTTAATTTTATTAATTATTTAATTTTTCATATAAATATAATAAAATACAGATTCGGGTCGGTTGTCATTAATCATTTAAGATAGTATTTCAGTACGTATGCCTATGTATATAGGGTTATGCTTTACTTTAACTTTCTTTTTTCTGGAATTTTAACAGAAGGATTCTTGACTAATGCAACGCAGTCAACTCTATTTGTTAGAACAACTTCCATTGAGTCTCTGCACCTATCCTTTTGTATTGTGATTCTGTCTTTATGAACCTTTGTTTGTTTTTTGTTTGTTTTCGAAAAATAGGATTTGGCTCAGGATTGCCCCTTTTTTTTCCGGGGTTTCTCTGAATTTGAAAGTTATCACTTAGTAAGTTTCCATACCAAGGCTCAATCCAATTAAGTCCGTAGCGTCTACCAATTTCGCCATATCCCCTCTTTGTTTTGTGTTTTGAGATTAAGATCTTATTATTATGTTATTATGTCATTCCCTTTTTTCTTTCATTTCTATTCTACTGGAACTGTTAAAGTCATTAGATACCGATTCCTATATTCCTAGAAAAGTGTTTCCTCTTATTTTATTATTTTATTTGATTTCTTGTCTAGCCTCTTTCATCTCTATTGGAGACCCATATTTGGTCTAATCAGAAATCATTCTATCATTTCTGTATCCGCAATTCAATATGGATGCATATATACCACATTTATTCTATATGTTTTTCTTCGAATCATTTTTCTTGTGCAATTTGGAATACTCGAACGGTCAATTCTTTTCTTTTTTTTTCTATATTCATTTAATTTAATTATGAATGACTACGAATGAAAAGTGAATATCTAAGATTCCAGTAGTTTACTAAATTCCTATGCATGTACAATTTCTGTTATGTGAGCCCGCTTAGCTCAGAGGTTAGAGCATCGCATTTGTAATGCGATGGTCATCGGTTCGACTCCGATAGCTGGCTTTTTTTCTAGTTTTTTTCTATATACATTCTTTGTGTATATACAAGAAGGTCCGGATATTGATAGAATCCATCTCATTTGTAGTATATCAGTATTTTTTGTAGTATAATACTTCAGTAGATTTTGCCTCATTTATTATATTTATCCTTTAGTTCAGTTTTAATTTAGGTTTATGAAATTTCAATAAAATAAAGAAAATAAGGAGTCTTTATGTCACGTTACCGAGGGCCTCGTTTCAAAAAAATACGCCGTCTGGGGGCTTTACCGGGACTAACTAGTAAAAGGCCTAGAGCCGGGAGCGATCTTAGAAATCAATCGCGCGCCGGTAAAAAATCTCAATATCGTATTCGTTTAGAAGAAAAACAAAAATTGCGTTTTCATTATGGTCTTACAGAACGACAATTGCTTAAATACGTTCGTATCGCCGCAAAAGCCAAAGGGTCAACGGGTCAGGTTTTACTACAATTACTTGAAATGCGTTTGGATAACATCCTTTTTCGATTAGGTATGGCGTCAACTATTCCTCGAGCCCGCCAATTAGTTAACCATAGACATATTTTAGTTAATGGTCGTATAGTAGATATACCAAGTTATCGCTGCAAACCCCGAGATATTATTACAGCGAAGGATGAACAAAAATCTAGAGTTATGATTCAAAATTCTCTTGATTCATTCCCCCAGGAGGAATTGCCAAAACATTTGACTCTTCACCCATTCCAATATAAAGGATTGGTCAATCACATAATAGATAGTAAATGGGTTGGCTTGAAAATAAATGAATTGTTAGTTGTAGAATATTATTCTCGTCAGACTTAAACCTAACTAAAATAACAAGGGTTCGGACAATTTTGTCCCCTGTCGCCTAAGTAAAGAGACAAAAGGTATGGGTTTGCTCGGGGGATTTTTCTCCCATTGATATATCCTAGAATCAAGGGGCATTTGCATTCCTTGTCCACTCGTATTTTCTGTTCCACAGAAATTAGGAATAGAGAATCTATATCAAAGAAAGATCGAACTCTTGGAACTTGGAATAAGGGTATCCATTGTTATGTGATTTGATATATTGTGGTCAATAACATTTCAGTAACATTGATAAATTAGGTGAAGGTGCGGAAAGAGAGGGATTCGAACCCTCGGTAAACAAAAGCCTACATAGCAGTTCCAATGCTACGCCTTGAACCACTCGGCCATCTCTCCTACATAATGATTAGGATAATGATTATGGCCCCGA